TTCTAATTGAGCTTCATACCTTGCTTTCAAGGGCCTCCTCTTCCAGGAAGCCTGCTCACGTCTTCTCAGTTAACCTCTCCCATGGAGAAACTCTCTATCACTCAGAGTTTGCATGAGTCTTAGCTTTGATGCAAAACAGGTCCGGGAGCCTTTGGATTTTAAGACTGAAGGCACTATTAAAGTGCCAGAGGAAAAAGAAGACAGAATACTGGACGTAAGACTGACTCTGATTCTCACTGAATGTCAAGGCTATTTTGTGAACAGCCGTGCTGGTTATCCAAGATAGAAAGCCAAAACATTTCAACACGTTTCTGACTCTAGTTTCTCATGGGTAACTAGGGGAGAGGGAAAACTTTGGGATATGTTTTATCAGTCCTTTAATCATCCTCTATTTAGACATTTACAAGGCCAAATATAACTGTCAGCTGCAAGTGTTTTGAATTGCATAGTTGCTTTATGTTGAGTAAACTATATTTTAAATTAAACTTGAAGCTTCTTAAAAAGCCTCCTCGCAATTTTCTTTGTACTTGAATAAATCTTGTCTGTCGAACTGCTACTATAGTAAGTGAATCTTATTTGATTGGATTATAGCATAATTTTATATCTAAATGCAGTAAAGGCCATGTTCCTTTACAAATGAATTAAATTAGAGGAGGACAAAGTACAGACTAAAAATTCTCAGTTGAAATGAAGGTCGAAATATGGGGCCTTGGAGAAAGTAAGATACTTGTTGAATAGAGCAGTGAGTTCTCACCCTGGATGCAATGGAATCACCTAGGAAGCTTGGAAACAACAACACACACTGATGCCTGGTTCTCTCCCAAGATTCTCATTTAGTTGAGGCCCAAATATCAGTATTTTTTTAAACCTCTCCAAATGATTCTGATGTGCAGTCAAGTTTGAGAACTGCTGAACTAGATGAAAACTCAAGCTATTTAAAGAAAGCTCTTCCTAGTAAGCAGATGAAAAGTAGTGACCAAATAGCAATTGGAAAAGAAGAAACATGAGAAAAAGACGAGGGAAGGAAACTTTAATGTAAAACTAGTAGAGGTTTACAGTCCCTTATTCACAGTCCTACAATAGAAAAACTCTGAAAAACAAAAGTTCTTCATAACTAACTTGGTGGCAAAATCAAAAACTGAACGTATTTGGTGGCAAAACTCTAGGCTTTTTCTAGTCTTCCTTTATCCCATTTGGTTTGAATAGTAATGCATTTCATGGAAGAAATATTAATGTATCTGACTACAAGTTGCTGCCCCAGACTTCACTTAAGATACCTTTCTGAAATATGTAAAATTTTGAATTCTGAAATACATCTAGTCCCAGGGGGTTCTGAAAAGGAGTTATGGATTATAGTAGGGAAGGGTTGTGATAGGAAAAGCCAAGCTAATAATTTACTGTTTCTGTCAGATTAAAAACAATGCATTTTTTTTAATGACCTGGGCAGTGGTTTTGTATCCTCATTGAATAGAAACAATGGCCAGTATCAGAACATGGTTCTACATTTGGTATATTTCTCAAGCCTAACCTAACAGTGGCTCTATTTTGGGCATGGTGAGAGGAACTCAGGTTTGCCAACAACACAGTTAGATTACAGTAGAAAAATCATCATTGTCCGATAAAAGACTCTTCAGTATAACAAATGACTCCAGAATCTAGAGATTTGAAACAATGTGTATTTATTATGTTAGTACTGGGTCTGTCCCACAGACCTTGGCAGGTGGATGAAAGGAGTACTCAGACACAGGTAAGCAGTGTAAGAGCACCTAGGTGACTGCCTGGCTCTACTGGCCAGAGAGTACCCCTGAGAAGCTGAAGCTGCTTGCTTTTATTCAGTACAGGTGCAATGCCGAAAACCTGGAGCCAACACAACCTGTAGGTAATTAACATTCATTGTTCCCCTTTCAGGGAACATCAGGTATACACAGATGATCAAAGGTCAGTTCCTGGTCAGCATAAGTAAACAAGCTTGTTTAAGATAAATTCCCCCACAGTCCTTTGTACCTACTCCTTGCCCTCTGCCTCAGGGTTATAGAACAACTGCCTTCACCTGTTCTCTGCCCCTGCCCCCCCGGGCTGTGCAGATCCGTCCGACCTTTCAGAAGGTTTGTGTCCTTTCCCTGTAGTTTTTCGCATCGCTCTGACCGATAGCCCGCATGTTAGGAGTTTGGAAGCACCTTAGCTAGGTAGTTCCTGCTCAGGGTGTCTCAGGAGGTTGTGGTCAGAATGTCAGCCAGAGCCTCAGTTATTTGAAGGCTCAACTCGCACTGGAGTATGACATTTCTTTTCCAATGCCAACAGGTCCCTTATTAGCACACGAAGAAAAGTGTAGTCCCTGTTTATGTAATTGCTCAGAGTTTAAGATTTTCAATTCAGTTTCATATAAACCTAACAATTATTTGCAAAGGCCAACTTTAAATCCTTCTAACATGTTCTGAAGACTTCTGCTGGGAGTAACTTATGACAAGGACATGCCTTCTCTGAGTTTTCATTGTCCTCCCTTGGGAAGTTTTTTCTCTCCCCTGGGTCCTTTCTGTATTTTCTCCTTCTGTCTTTGTATAAATAGGGTTGTCTCTTTAGCCACCTCTTGTGGGCTAATGAGTGAGTGTCAATTGCCCAGGATAATGTGAGGAAAAGACAAACAGGTCTCTGCCTCAGTGGAGTTTCCAGCCAAAATATAGGCATTAATCACACACCTTTAAATGATTAATTGATTGCTAGGTCATTTAAAAAAACAAAAAAGAACTGCGAAGATCCTATAGCAGCATAAAAAGGATCTTACCCAGTGTGTGCTCTGCTTGGTCAGTACTTTTCCCTTTGTGTCTTGTAGGAAGACTAACCTATCTTTGGGTTTTGTTTTGTTTTGTTTTGCCAAAACCTTTTTCCCTCCTAGTGCAGAAACATGGTAGCTATCCTACATCCTACTTTGCATAAAATACTCGTATCCTCGCATGGCAGAGGTTCAGTGGATGTGGTGTAATACAGTACAGTAATCTCATTTATTTTATGTAAAAAAGCAGCCTAGGTTCTAAGTTGAACTGTGAAGTTCTTTGTGCCTTTCTCACTGCCCGTCTCTCACCCTCCTAGTGCCCTGGAAATGCTCCAGTTTTTGCTTGCTCATCTCATTCTTTCCTTTCTTTCTCTCAATTCTTTGAAAAGCTGTAGTGTTATACATTGGTGGGAATGTAATCCTTTCCTTTTCTGAGCTGTTTCTATTTTGGGCATCATTTTCTAATTGGAAAAGGAAAAACTGAGAATCCCATAAAGGGATTTCAGGTGTGGAAAATTAAAAGAGGAAGCTGGAGATGGCTGGTTTTGATCCTTTGTGAACAAATTAAGTGATCCACCTCGTGCATCATTTTCCATCTTTGCCTTCTCCCTGTGTGTGTGCCACAGTGGGGTTTTCCCTGGGAGGTGATAGAATCTGGAAACCATTGACGAGACCCTTGTAAATGTTTATAATCTGCCTCTTTATCCCAACTCCAAATATTTGTGACACTGAATGAAGAAAATCCTAAAAAGGGCTGGTAATACTACAATAAACCTTACAAACAATTTAAAATATGTAAAATATGCAGTAATTGATATTTTTACTTTGATGCTTTTTAAATTTATTTGAGTACACATACCAGTACTTATAAAGGTTTTCTTGTGGTCATTCGTCACTTCTGTCTGCCTCAGTACTCTTTTCCCGCTGAGTTCTTTAACTGTAAACTTTCCAACTGTGAACATTTTTAGAGCTCAAACTCTTAAGGTTGGAGAAGAACTGATTGTCTTCTCACTGCTGTGTAATTTTCCTGAGAGAATCTTAAGGTGTCAAAGAATCAGCTAAATTAAGACTATGCGTTTTTGAATAGCTTTCACGTAGCCCATCAGGGAAAGCATGGCAATAAAGACAGTACATGGGACAAACTGCCTTCTGCAGGGGTGATAATGCCCTGGCCATTGACAAAGTAGTCCTCGGTGGAGTCTCAGGGTCTAGCATATTGCTACACTTGCCTTCCAGTAAATGAATGTAGATTACATTAATTTGAATAGCAAATCTGCAATTTTACCTTGAACTCCCTTGTTCTCCCTTTAAAGTGTCATTATTGCAATATATTCAGCTGCCTGATACCCCTATCCCTCGAAAAAAACTCGACCATCACGAGTTCCAAACACCTGAACACACAAACTTCTGAGCTTAAGAGATTGTGTCCTGAAGAGAAGAGATCTTCCTCATTATGGAATTTTTATTGATACCTTCATGTTATCTCTGAAAGTGACTGTGCTTATCTTTTTTGTCGCTGTTTCGTGTTCTGCTTTGAAAATGTTTTCAAGGAAGGATTTAAGTGTTCAAAGTGGGAAAGATGAGAGTGAGATTAAGTGCTAAAAACTTTGGACAAGTAAGTAGGGTTTAAGACATTTAGGATTTTAAAGGTCATCTAGTCTATTCCCATTTCACCTGCCCTAAGCGTTGATGATGCTTGCTTTTATGTGGCATATTATCCAAAATAGTTGCTGTAAACCTGTCAGGCTTGCAGTGAACATTCATTATATTTGAGCAGAGGTCCAATTAAACCAGGATTACCTATATCAACTTTACTAGAATTTCTGTATAAACTAGCATCTTTGAGAGGTAAATAATATTTAATCTTTGTCATGGTTTCATGTATATTTTAATAATTTAATTCATAATTGCATTATATCTGAATGTTATATAGTTTTTTTTTTAGGTACTTCCCATCATCACAGTGTAAATACCAGTGTTTTACAATGTGTACATTCTGGCAACTGTCTAACTTTTAAAAAAGTAATTCAATATGATTCTTCTAAAAGTTCCTATGCAGAGGTTTTTCCATGTACTAAAAACAAGCAAAAATCAAAAAAGTGCTGGCAGCAAACTTCGGTTTAATTGCAACAGCTCTGAATTTGGGCTGCATATCTAAAAACAAAGTACTGCTTTTGATGGCTACATTTTTCTTCTTCTAATTTGATTTTTCCCCCTAATATTTTATTAGGTGCAGAGAGAGCTAGCAGCTGTGATTGCTTTGAAAGCAAGGAAGTCTGGTAAGTTGTCTTTTGTGGGGCTGGAGGAAGATTCTGATTCTTTGGGGGTATTTCACATATCATCTGGTAGTGTGCAGTTGAGTGTATCTCAGGAAGCTGTGGTGTAGAATGCAAAGAATTATCCCCATTTGTTTTTAAAAATCATTTGTTCTACCATCAGAATAGCACGGGATGTTATATGTAGTTTTTTAAGATAAAGTGTCACTGCTTTGCTCTAATCTATTTTTGATTTCAAGAAAAAATGAAATTTAAAGTTAAAAATATGTTTGTAGCCCATTGCAACCATATAAGGATCTAGGTACATGACAAAGTAAGCCAATCACCTTGTATTATGTATCTTAATGACAAAGGACCATGGATACTATAGAGGTGGTCTTTTTTATAAGGTTTTAAAAACTCAAAGTAGTTCCTTCTAAAAATAATTGAATTGCTTAATGACATTTCAAAGCAAACATTACTCCTAGGATTGATTGATAGGCCTGATTCCTCATACCTATAGGATATAATCTGTGGAAGTAACATGTGGAAAGGAAAAGGGGGCTTTCAAATACATTTTAAAGGAGAAAAAACATGGTCTGCTAGAATTCAATATGAAATGGAGACTCACTGAAGTAGAAAAATGCTTGCTTAGATGGGAGGAATGTCAGTAGGAGGCATCCTTTGCTGTTCCTCCCTTCGGAGGGAGGAGGTCAGTGCTGAATGGAATGAAAATCAGAAGGGAGGTACTTCTTGGATAATGTTAAACTAGACTAAAACATTTCAGGCGGAAAGACTATGACAAAATAAAAGTGATGACCAAACTTGAAGAAATAAAATGGAATGGAAATGTCTCAGGAACACAAACTGTACATTTTATATCTTTCTTTTTCCAGTTAGAAACCCTAAGAATTTGATTTTTTCTTAGTTACTATTTGAACCAAACAGACCTTAGTGTGAATTAGCTTATTACATTCATGTTACTTTCTTTGTTGGTCTGGCAGATGTTGAGGACATAGAGACTGGAAGCTATAAAGGTAGTGGGGAGGAGGATGCAAGGAATAGCAATCTTGGGTATTGAACAGAGGGTAGCCTGAATAAGGCTTCCCAGTGAACAGCATTATTTATATTTGCAGAGGTGGAGGCCAGGATAGAGAAAGGACATCAATAAAGTTTGCAGGAGGGAAATGCAAATCAAAATCACATTGAGATTTCTCCTATCCCAGCTAGAATGGCTATTATCAAAAACACAAAAAATAATAGATGCTGGCAAGAACGTGGAAAAAGGGAAACTCTCATAAACTGTGGGTAGGAATGTAAACTAGTACAGCCACTATGGAAAACAGTATGGAGGTTCTTCAAAAATGTAAAAATAGAACTACCCTATGATTCAGCAATCCCATGGAAATGAGTATATCAAAGAGATATCTGCACTCCCATATTTACTGCAGCACTATTCACAATAGGCAAGATGTGGAATCAACTTAAGTATGTATCAACAGATAAATGGATAAAGAAAATGTGGCACATATACTCAATGAAATATTATTCAGCCATGAAAAAGAATAAAGCCTGTCATTTGTAGCGTCATGGATAAGCCTGGAGGACATTATGTTAAGTGAAATAAGCTAGGCACAGAAAGACAAACACTGCATGTTTTCACTCATATGTGGCAGCGTGAAAAGTTGATCTCGTTGAGATGGAGAGTAGAATGATGGTTGCTAGAGGCTGGCAAGGGTAGGAGGGATGAAGAGTTGGTTAATGGGTACAAAAATACAGTTAGAGGAGTGAATTCTCTACTGTTCAATAGCACAGTATTGTGGCTATAGTTATCAAAAATGTATATTGCAAAATAACTAGAAAAGAAGGTTTGAAATGTTCTCAATACAAATGGTATATGTTTGAGATGATGGATATCCCAACTACCCTGATTTGATTATTACACAATATTTGCATGTATTAACATATGTACCATACAAATATGTACAATTATTATTTATCAAAAAAGTAACTCTAAAAAAAGATTGTAGGAGGGACGGCCTAGAAATAAATTCTGCTGGAGCTGATCTTGATTCTTGGGTCATGATAAAGAGACAAGTGTATAGTCTGTACAAGTTGGGATGACAGTGTCTTGAAGGATAGGATTTGATTTTTTAAATTTTCAGAATAAAGTAGAGAAGTAATCAAAAACTTACAGCACGTCATTGCCAGAGAAAGAGCAAGTAAATACAGTTAGGGAGGCTGGAGAAGGGGGTGGCTGATTTACACGGAGTGGGATGGGAAAGCCTCTGATTTGGAGATTTTTGAGCCAAGACCTAAAGTCAGTGAGAGAGAGAGAGCCCCGTGGCTATCCACAGAGCATTTGGACAGACACATTGCGTCAGATGGGTTTGAGAGATTGCAAGGAGGCAAGTGAATGAGGCTGAGAGAGGTAGCTTCACAATGTCAGATGAAGAAGTTTCAACTTTCTGGAGGTGAAGGGAGATGAAGATGAGCAAGCAGGACCCATACATATTAGATTGCATAATGTCAAAGACTGGTGTGAAGTCAATTTTATTATGTTGTGATGTCACTGTATGAGATTAGCATGTCTGTTTTCCTTACTTATTTGATCAGTGGAGCTTGGAATGTGAATACAATTTTGACAACTTCTCAGGGACAGAGTAAAGTGATCTCACACACTTATACTATGATGGGGACATCAATTCATAGTTTTTCAGAAAAGCAGTTGTTCAGTATATTCCAGTAACTCTATAATCCAATAGCTTTATATGACTGGAGGTCTGGCTGTAAGACATAATCAGAGTTGCATGTGAAGATTAAGATCGAAGAATATCTGTTGCATTGCTTTTTTTTTTTTTTTTTAACAGAAAGTAGAAACAATCCTTAATTCCCTATGATAAGGAAATAATAAAATTGATAGATCAGTGCACTGGAATATTAAACAACTTTTAAAATGATATTTGGAAGAATTTATATAGTTATTTTTTCAGTGAAAAAAGTTGTATACAATAGCATGTATTCTCTTTTTCATGATGAAAATAGCTTCGTTTATTTTTTCTTGCTATCATATTAGAGCATACTCATTGAAAAAATCTTTTATAATACATGAATGTATGAAGAAGAAATTTAACAGTTATGTGTCATTTCACCAATATAACCACTAATACTCTTGTTTTATTTATTTCCAAACATTTTTTAATTTTTAATTTTAATTTTAATTCTTTGTATTTTGGCTATTTCCATTTTTTTTTCTTTTTCCTTTTTTTTTTTTTTTTTTTTTTTGTTGTTGTTTTTTGAGATGGAGTCTCGCTCTGTCACCTAGGCTGGAGCGCAGTCGCGCGATTTCGGCTCCCTACAACCTCTGCCTCCCAGGTTCAAACAATTCTCCTGCTTCAGCCTCCCTAGTAGCTGGGACTGCAGGCATGTACCACCACACCGGGCTAATTTTTGTAGTTTTAGTAGAGACAGGGTTTTGCCATGTTGGCCAGGTTGGTTTTGAACTCCTGACCTTAGGTGATCCACCTGCCTCTGTCTCCCAAACTGCTGGGATTATAGGTGTGAGCCACCGCACCTGGCCACCAAACTTTTTAAAATTAATATGCAGATATTATATATTATATATTAATATGCTGCTGATTTAATAAAAGGATCATCTTATGTATGCTCTTTTGCGATAACTGTAGATTTGCACACAATTGTAATAAATAATACAGACAGATCCAGAGTATCTTTTACGCAGGTTCCCCCAATGGTAACATTTTACAAAACTACAGTAAAGTATCACAACCAGGACATTAACATTTTCACCAACACAGAGATCCCTTATGTTGCTCCTTTATAGCTACACTGACTTTCCACTACCTCTATTCTCTTCTTAACTCCTGGCAGTGACTAAACTGTTCTCTATTTCTGTCATTTCAAAAATATTATATAAATAGAATCAGACAGTATGTAACCTGTTGAAATGGGCTCTTTTCACATGGCATGATTTTCTAAGCTTCATTCAGGTTGTTGAATATATCTATATCTTTTTCCTTGTTTTTGTTTGTTTGTTTGTTTTGAGATAGGGTCTCACTCTGTCTCCCAGGCTGCAGTGCAGTGGCACGATCTCGGCTCACCAAGGCTAAAGCAACCTTCCCACCTCAGTCTCCTGAGTGGCTGGGAATACACCACTACACCTGGCTAATTTTGTTTATTTGTTTTGTAGAGACAAGGTCTCACTATGTTGCTCAGGCTGAGTACTGTCTTTTTTATTGCTGAATAGTGTTCCGTGGCATGAATGTGCCATGATACTTTTAACCATTTACCAACTGAAGGACATCTGGGTTTCTTCCAGTTGTTTTGCTATTTTGAATGAAGCTACTACAAATATTCCTGTATAGGTTTTTTTGTATGTGTGAGCCTGTCTTCATTTCTCTGGAATAAATGCCCAGAAGTACAATTGCTGGGTTCTTTGGTTATATGTTTAGGTTTTTGAGAAACAGCTAAACTATCTTTCACAGTAGCTGTGCAATTTTTACATTCTCACTGGCAATCTATAAGTGCTCCAAATTCTCTCAGATTCTTTGCATCCTTGCCAGTATTTGGTATCATTATTATTATTATTATTATTTTTAATTTTAGCCATTCTGATAGGTGTGTAGTGATAATCTCGTCACAGTTTTTATTTGCATTTTCCTGATGGCTTGTAATGTTGATCTTCTCAAGTGCTTATTTGTCATCTGAATGTTGTTTTTGGTGAATTGTTTGTTGATGCCTTTTGCCCAATTTTTAATTGAATTGCTTGTTTTTTGATTTTTACTCTTGAGTTTTGAGAGTTCTTTATGTATTCTAGGTAGTAGTCCTTTGTTGATAAGGACTGGTTGGCAAATATTTTCTTCCAGTCTGTAACTTGATTTTTTCATCCTCTCAACAGAGTTTTTCACAGAGCAAAGGGTTTTAATTTTGATAAAGTCCAATTTATTTATTTTAATGGATTTTTTAGTGCTTTGGGGTTAAATCAAAGAACTATTTGCCTAGCT